TTGGGCATATATATATATATATATATATATATATATATATATATATATATCTCTTTTTGTTGTATACTTTCCCTTACCATATCAACATCGATCTAACCTTCAAGGCAAATTGCTTGCACATGAGACTCTCGTGGACCTTTAGGGTTTCAAAGAAACACATGGAACTTCAAACCAAGAAATATTTCTCGTTTCATCGAATGGAAGGTTGGCGCCTAAATTTTGACTTCTTGTTTGGTGATACGAGTTCTCAAAAAAAAAAAAAACGTTAAAGGTGGCAAACCCACTTCGAAACATTTGACCAAAAATTCATTTGTATTCGCCGCATGATGATTAGGGTTTTTTTTTTTTGTGCAATGTCCGAAGCTTGATTTGATGCCATGTGCTCACATATGGTCTTCTCCCTAATTCATTGGCATTTGACATTTACAAAGTAATTGCCTCATATATTCCTCAATTTCTCCTGTCGTGTTCTCTTGGTTAACATATCCCACATCGATGGTTGACAAACACTACATTTTTCGAAATAAAAAAAATTAATATGGATTTGGAAATATTATAATAATTGATTTGAAGGGATTCTAAATGTTAGATATGATTGCATATCAATTAGAGATTCAAATAAAAAATAATATTACCAAATCCATATTTATTTCTTTATTTCAACAACATTCATTCACATGCATTGGTGCGTCCATTCATCACTGGTGTTGACGTCTATCTAATAATTTTTGCAATCGAGATCGTTTCTATTATAATTAAATACCATGACGACTGAAGCATACAAAATAAAAGGACGTAAACATATATGTATTTGTTTATATATATACACTCCAAGCGTGAGGAGGGACATTCACCTGGGCTTCTCCGATCCTCTAGAAGATGTAATCGGGTCAAAGACCCGATAAACTTCCGGATTATCCAAAAAAAAAAAAAACTTTTTCCCTGCGTGATTTTATTTGGACTTTATATATTTATAACCAAGCGGAAATATAACCACAAACAACCGTTACCTAATTAGTTGCGGGTGTACAATATAATGAAATAACATGTTAAATTATATGAAATCAAATTTGGTTTAATTATTGAAAATTATGGAGAAATTTAATTCATTTGGACTTTATATATTAGTTCGTAATTTTCCAATAATAATTTGTCACACTAAAAAAAGAAAACAAAACTAGAAAAAGACGAATGAGATTAGGGGAATCATTTACATAATTGGAAAGTGACTTGACAACGGAAAGCAGATGAGAAAAAAAAAAACACTTTGAATATAAAGAAACGCTTTTATCATTTGAAAGTATTATGTGGCCAAGTGGGAGATTCTTTAATTTGTGTTAATTTGGCACCATCCGATGGGTCCCACCTCCTGCCTCACAAAATAAATTACCATTAAATGGAATTAAAGGTTGAGCTTATTTATATACAAAATCGTTTCACCATCACACAAAGATAGATTTTGTGGGTCCCGCATCATATTTCCTCTGCTCGAATCAGCTCCATGGAAATTTAAGAATATATATATATATATATATATATATATATCGACTGTTATATTGGTTCAATTGATTCACACACGGCAGCTTGTATTTTTCTTCAAAATGCATGCGGACCATGGACGTATTCAAATGTTGTCTTTTTGACAAAATGCCAAACTTTTGAGACATGAACATATTTCCAGGAAGGTTCCTTTGAAACTTCACATGCGTGTCCTCACAAGAATTCCAAGGCATTAATTAATCTATAGAGAACATCATCATCATCATCATCATCATCATCATCATCATCATCATCATCATCATCATCATTATTATTATATTGCGCCTAGCTATCTCATCGAATTATTTGTGAAATTAATGCATGTTAATAAAAGTCGTTTCTAACTATGTGTTTTCATCACTACTTAATATCCCATGAACTATTTTATTATAAATTAACAATAGTTTATTCAGCAGTGTTTTTTGAAACCAAACGTTCAGATTTTTGTTCAAATGACATTCTATATATTACAGAATTCAAGTAATTTTTTTTTTGTATGAAACGTAATAATTTAAATGTAATGATAGAGAATATTTCTTCCTTGAAAGAAAAAGAAAAAAGATTTCTTCCTTACGAATGTTACAGTTTTTTAACAGTTAAGTACTTAAGAGAAAAAAGCAGAGGTTCTGTTGAACCCTATTTCTCAATTCTCCGTCGCCGTCGCGGATCTCATGGTCGAGTTTTTCTCCGACGCCTCTCCGGTGGACGCATTTGAATTCCGATGGATATGGTTCCGATTCCTGTGGGGAGTTACAAGATTCGGTTCATAGGAGCTGGGAAATTGGCGGAGAGAGAATCGCCAGATGGATCGGGTGTTCTTCCGCCCCACCGCCGTTCACTCCAACTCCGACCGCCGTTTCGTCTTCGAATCGTTCCGCGTCAATATCGTCTCTAGCGACGAAGCTGTAAGAAGAATTTCTATGTCCCCTTTCGTTCTTGTGATTCCCCCCTCGAATTTCGGTTTCGTTTGAATGGAATGATGCCTGTTTGATTAGTAGAAAAAAATCCTTGGATGTTGGGCGAATGAACGCGTAGATGACCATTTTGCGTGATGTTTGATGAGTGTGTGGGGGAGTAGTTTTACATGTTTTAAATTTTCGTTTTTGGGTTTGTTTAGTTTTTGTTGGCTTGAGATTGTGAGGAAGAAAGACGTTTCTTGCTTTTGGGTGTCTGAAAGAGACCATTTTTGTCCATGGATTTCTTGGAAAACAGTGCTCGTGAAGATAATATATGAGAGGGTTGTATGCAAAGTTTGAGAGAAGCATAGTTCCAATGGTTTTGGGGTAATGTGTTTTCATCAGTCCCTGGCATGAAATCAATCCATTTCACTATCTCCAAGTGATAGTTTGCTGAAGAGAGTGACTGTTGTGATATTCTCTGTGAAACCCCAAGTCGGCATTGTTCTGTCTTCTTCATTGTTTTCTCTGTCTGGCTAATTCACAATCTATCCAACAACTGTAAAGTTAGAGATGCTTTTGTGCATATCTTCCACTGCGAGGAGAATTACGTCGATGAAGCATACTGGTTATCTGCAGTTAAGTGTGTGACCACACGATTAGAACCGTAACTCTCCAAGCAAAAGCTATATTACCGCACAAGTTTCTCCATCTGTCATTTTGCAGTTTTCGGTTCTCTAAAACATAGAATGGAATTCCCAGGTCCCGTGATTCTTGTTTATGCTAGGGATGGTGTGTGGTCAAGATCGATTCATAAGGTCGATGCCAAACACACCATCTGTCCCAGCCTCCGTTGGTACCTATCTCTATCTTGGACTCTTGATAGATCATTCTGTATGCAGGCAGATCTAAGGATGCTTGAATTATAGTGTCTCTAAAATAGTGTTTTTTAGTGAATGGCATTGGCATTCAAAGTTTGGTGAATCAACATTTTGTTGGTAGAGGCTTTTCTAATGATGGCTCTGTTTTAAATAGGTATGTGCATCGGCGACAGAAGAGAATGGGGAGGAGGAGAGCTGATGAGACATTGTTCCGATCTCCTTTCCCCTCGCTCATCTTCATGCATCCCAAGCTGTCAGTAATGCTTCCATTGCTCATCTTATGTGTTTCCGTAATAACTCTTGCCTCAGTCCATCAAACTTCTTTCCAAGTGTGAATCTGCAATTTGTTATGGTGGTGACTAGCCATCATATTTTCTTGAAATTTACAGTGGAAGTGGTCGTAATCTTAGCGTATGAAGCATTAGCCGGTGGAGGCGTGGCTGCGGGCCTAATCCCCGTTCGAGATCTTGCAACGGGTATAGCTTCACATCTTTAAAACGCCGATAAAGCCCAACACTTTTGTTTATGTTGCAGGTTCGAGGAGCAGCATAGCATCAATGGCCGGCAAAACAGGGGAAGCCAATTACTCCTTTTAACTTTATTTTGGCATATCACCTCACATTTCTATATACACCTTACTGTTGATCATGTAGGGTTACATTATATAATTTTGCCTCATTATGAATCATGGCATTAGTCCGTGTAATGCATCCCTGTATTCTGTCTTCATACCATTCAAGATCAAAATCACACTTGGGTTGGGATCTTTGCTTATACTCTTTTTTTTAAAATGAAATTCCCAAAAGGGACTTTTATTGGCGGAAAAAGTCCATGAAAGTGACAACCTAATTTGATGGTAATCAATCCCCATTATATTAAATCCGTGTCCAATTTATATGTCGGTCCATCATTATATATAATGGCCCCTTGATTCGTTTAAGACTATATTATTCATACATTGCCAAGTTTCTTTTTACTTGTTAAACAATTATTTTAATCACGTGTTCTTGTTACTTTTGTGGTCTGACATTGGATTCTAAATGAATCGATATCTTTACAATTGAATGAATATATATATATATATATATATATATATGTCTATAAAAGATCATGTATGAGATATTACGTGTTCACGATCTCCTTGATGAATCTAATGAAGGGGCTATGAAAAGTAAAAAAAAAACTAAAGTGTAGTTTATACATATTCGTACGAAGCCATTACTCATATCCTCTTTTCCTCGAGTTTAAGATAAATAGCATAATTTTGCCAAAACACATGCTTTATCTTCCTATTAATCTCTTCAAAATCTTAATATATACAACTTTTCATTCCTGCGAACATATATATATATATATATATATAGAAGCAGTTATACAAATGAGCAAAATAAACACACCGTGGCCTTTTTATAATGTTGGTAATGTCATCTATATATTCCATGTGAGAGAGACGTATTGTATATAACCACGAAAGATGTAGTCGAAATTGGCATTGAGAATCAAGCAGACAAGTATACGTCTTGTCGAATTTCGAGTTTCGAAAGTGGTTGAAAAATCTTAAAGATGGAAATCATCATCGAAGGTGGCAGAGAGGGCGAAACCCAATACTTGTCATATACTCTTCACAGACACGGGCATAGACTCAGTTACTTCAACTCCCAGTTCCTACTGTATTGTCTCAATGACCCCTCTCTCTCTCTCTCTCTATATATATATATGCGTGTATATATATTATAATTTTTCTGAAGCAAAAGGAATTTGGTGAGAGCTTTCGGTTCATCTCTCTCTCTCTCTCTCTCTCTCTCTCTCTGTGGTTTAATGTGAAGTCTCGTAGAGAAGACTGAAAATCTTTGCATTGATTTCGAGAGAGAGGGAGAGTGACTGAGCTTGTAGGGTAAACTTAAAGATGGCACGTGGAAGTCAGTGCCAGTATGTTAGAAAGGGTTGAAATTACATTTTTTTTTTGTTAAAGGGTTGAAATTAATTTTGTCACACTTTTCGAGTTTTGTCACAACATAATACTACCACACACAAAAAAAACAGTTTTTTTTTTCTTCCTATGTATTTGTAATGAAGTTGGTCTTGACATGCACAACATTATCAAACTTCGGTATACATTATGAAGAAATCAAACACGTCTGAAACTTTTACAAAAATTCCAAAAGAATATATATAAATGTGTGTGTATATATATATCAACGTATAATGATCGTGCCAAAACTATATACGCATATTCTAAATGGGAACTTTAATTTGTTATGAACTATGTATACATGTTAGATGATATTTGTCATGCGGTAATTATATATTTTTTCGGCCGCTGTGAATCACATTGCGATGAAAACAAAGTTAGGAAACTGGAAGTCAACACGGTCAGATAAGATAATGGGTTTGTGCCACGTGTCACGTTTCAAGTGAGACAATAGGAACTAGCTATATGAAGAGACTTTTCATGCGAATTAAAAACGTTACATAATTATCCTAAATAAGAAAAACCAAATAGATATAGTAATACTTCAATTAAAATCAATCAAATCATTGGTCAAATTATGTCAAGATTTTCATGTAATTTATATCATGTCTTATTTTTTATTAGTACATCCATCATAATATTCAGCGCGTCACAAATTTGCCTAACAAAATATATGTTTTCCTACGTAGTCAAAACATTCAACGTCAAATAAGTTGTATTTTTGCATTCATTCGTCGAAAATTTTTGCTTTTCATCGATCGTGCTTGGCATTATAGACGTACGTATATATATATATATATACGTATTTAATTTATCTTTTAGATATGGAATTGATTCGATGGGTGTTATTGCAATTCATGATTAAACTAACAATATGAACAAAATCACAATTTTGCAATAATTACGTTAAACAAATCTTTGAATTGAGTGGATGTAACGTAACATATTGTGTTGAAACAACGATTCATAAAATTTCGTATTTAAACCAAGCAAATTGTTGTTTTCATCATTTGTTATTCTTAACAAAACTTTGTGCCGTCTTGTGAATGGTGTCATCTACCATCATCTCTCTCATATATATATATATATATATAAAAGAGCAAATTAAAAAATAATTATAATATATATATATATACTAGTAAATTAAAAATGAATTTGTGGAATGGCAGAGAGAAAAATGGAGGGGGGAAAGTCAGAGAAATAATAAGAAGGGGGGGAGTGTGTGGATTGAGAGGTCAAGTCATAGATGTCCACATCACATCTCTTCACATGCACAACCATTGTCTTCTCTCTTGTCTTGTCATATCATTTTGCATCCCAACAAATTTTACACGCACATACATACATACATATACATGCATCTAACTTCTCATATCCTTTAATTTTGTATGCTTGTACGTCCATATCATTTCGTATATACATGCATGTATAATCTCGACATATCATTCTGTATATACATACATATATACACAAACTCAAATATGTACGCATGCCATTTCTGCCATTGTAACATTTAAATACTAAAATCATTCATACAAACAAGGGTTGCTTACACAGTTTACACACACAGACACATATATATATATATATATGTAGGAAAGGAGGAGGAAAGCTTGGAAGAAGTAGATGGGCAGGGAAGGCGACAGCCTTTAGAACAAGAACTTATACATATAATAACAACAAAGATCTGATGAAACTTAACTGTTGATGAAAATATCTTCTTTTCACCAAACAAAAACAGCACAAAAAATTACTGTTTCACCTTCTTTTGTCCTTTTTCTTGTTTACTCTTTCACAAGAATTTCTTACTCTTTTTTTTTTAATCTTCTGCAATCCTTAACCAACACTCCTTCTGTCTTTTGCTTTGGACAGAAAAATTCCAGCTTTCCCTTTTGTGTAATTTCTCACTTCTACACACAATACAATTCATTTATGATATATTCACATGTGTTTTATCCATATACATATGGATGGAACCGCATTAGGGTTTGATTTATTCATGTATATGTATGCATGATGGTTTCCTATATTTCTTTCCCTTTTGTTGGGCAAAAAAGACATTTATTTGCACATATGTATGTATGTATGTATGTATGTATGTTCACACTTATATGTGTATATATATATATATATACACATACGTTTTTAATAAAATTCAGAGCTTTAAGGGTCTTTGTCGATATATACATCTGGTTCTTAAAATTTCCTGGTAGATGATTCGATCAGAGAAAATATAATGTGGGACCCCCATAAAATAAATCTTTATGTGATGGCATAAATAAGTTTTCTCTTTTTTTTTTTCCAATCTCGGCTTTTTAATTTTATTTAATATAATGTATTTACTAAGACAGTAGGCCCAACTAATGGCCAAATTAACACAAAAGGAGTCTCCACTTGGCCATATAATATAGTTTCAATGATAAATCATTTCTCCAAATTGAAAGTTTTTCTTTCTTTCTTTCACCAAGTGTGCCCATTTCTTTAATTTTCCTATTCTTTCCTTTGCCAAGTCCCTTTCCTTTATATGATTTATTCATCTTTTCTAGGGTTTTTTTTTTTTACATATTAGAGTGAAATTAATTAGATAGAAATACAAAAAGTAAAAAATTAAAAAACAAGGAAGGTAACAAATTAAAACATGACATGCATAGTTCGAGAGGTCTTAAGATATACGTTGGATTTGTCCTCACATGACTGACATTAGGAGGGCCTCTCGTACTCCATCACGCATATGTTTCCACTTATATCATCTTCCTCCTTTTCCCCATTTTGTCCTATGCGCATCATATGTAATGATTTTCAATAAACGCCTTCTTGTTAATTAAGATATAATTATGTACATCGTGACATAAGAGAAGACAGCGAATCACAAAGGAAGTTATCTTATATATACTGTATATACAAACACAAATATGTGCTTTTATTTCGTATGATTATGTCATCATGGTATTTATAGATTGGGTATATATGGCTGTTAATATATTGTGGAAGACATGCCAAATCCCTCTAAGATTCTCCTCTTTCTCTCTCTCTCTCTCTCTCTCTATATATATATATATATATACTGCAGAAATTAGGAATAAAAAATGGTCTGGATTCCATAATTTTGTTAGATAGACGTCAACACCACACTGATGATATACAATATGTAAATAGATGAGTGTATAGAGCGTTTGTCCACCGATGGATATGTTAACCGAGAGAACGCGAGAGGAGAAACTGAGGAATGACAATTACTTTTAAATGTCAAACGCCAATTATTAATTAGGGAGAAGACATGTGAGTGCATGGCAACAAAAGAGGCTTTGGACATTACATTACATTACACAACAAAACCCCAATCATCATACGACGAATAAAAATGGATTTCCGGTCAAATTTTTCAAAGTGGGTTTGTCACCTTTAACCTTTTTCCCTCGAGAAATCGTATCACCAAACAGCAAGTCAAATTTATTTATTTTTCCCCAACTTCCATTGGATGTAACAAGAAAAAATAAAGGTAAGCGAGATTCGAAACTCGTGTTCTTTGAAACCCTAATGTTTCTTCTCATAACGCCTTAATATTTAGTCGTTAGGTTTTTGATATAACAAGGAAAAATGGCAATAAAAGGGGGAAGGCCGATGGATAAGTTGAATCATCTGTAACACTCTGAAGGGCATAAGAAGACTTTGTCCAACGCAAACATTTAGAGACAATCACCACAAATGATTTCCCACCACCACTGGTCGTGAGAGACTTCAGATAATGGTGTGTATTGACCCAACACCCTCCACAATGACCTAATTTCGATGATCACCCACTTCCCCTTTTCGTGGATTTGTCGTCGAAATGGATCACCAGCTCACCCATTTCAATTGGGTTCCACCATAGCTATATATGTACATGACACCACTTCACATATGCAACCATACATACATAACCCTACAAGTCAAATTGATGCCATCACTCGACCAATCATGGGCCTTGCGAAATCAAACCATAGACAGACATGGTTTCTCGTTGGAGACATAAACAATCTCATGGGATTATGTAATATGTGGTTTGTGTCCGTTCCATTTAATATTTGGATAATCTCAACTTTAGGAGTTTCACTTGAAGACAACTTTTGAATAGTGGTATTCAATTCGTGTTATTTTTTCAGTCAACTCCAAATTAAGCTGTCGTAATTGTATTTTTTAAAATAAAAAATTAGGTTAATTAGCTTTCAAATATATAAGATCTCTTCTTGTTCAAACTATAAGACTTTCGCGTAGTCCTAAATCTTCCGAATCATGTCTTCATCGATGCTGAGAAAATGATGGTTTGGGGAAAATGAAATTATACTGATATATATGCGCACACACACACTCAATATATATATATATATATATATATATATATATATATATATATATATATATATGTTTTCAGTTA